AAATAATTGTTCAGTGCTCATCTGTTTACAGTGTTTGCTTGATTCAAGTCTGTCCTAAATGAGAACTACCTTGGATGAAACACTTCTCAAGCCTCTCATTCTAACACTATATTGCTTATTGTACATCTTGAAATCCTGTGTGATCAAGGCTTGTCCTAGTAGATGTGTATAACTATGGTAAGTCCTGGTATTTTACCTCACTGTAAAATTAATCTAATCAGCTTCATTACAACTCGAAAAATGTTAGTTCATCTGTTGATCCTATAGGATCATCTACGTCATCTATCTTAAAACTAAACGGATTCTTTGTAGGGGATTTAAAACTACTCTGAGATTCACGAAAAAAACGAAACAAAACAAATATCTATTGTTCATAATGACATAATCATTCATTTACAACAATTATCTATAATTTCCTTGATTCAAAATAACATAGGAATTTCATGGTATACAAAACTGAGATAAATCTTTATGATAAAGTACATTTTCATTAGCTATAATTCATTGGATAGAAGGGTAGATGTTTTATGTAAAGTTTAAAACAGCATTTGACGCCCAAAATATTCTTTTATCTTGGTTTCTCCTCTCTTTCACCGTTTGTCCTGAAAATGTTTTTTGAAAGTGTTTCTTATTTTTGTAGTTAAATTCAATTATTAATTGTAGGCTTATGATTGGCAGTAATTAAAATAGACGGATAGACAAAAAGGAGAATGGATATATAGACAGATATGCTAAATCAACATGGGACCTGATCTAAAGTGTGTATCGATCCAAATAGCTACACTTCATTTAGGCACAGCGAGTGAAGGCAACAGAAAGAAAGGTTAAGAAAGAAAATTGATAGCAATAATAACTATAAAATAATAATAACGATAATAATACTTTCAGCGGCTATGAACAATCGTAGATAAGTAAAAAAAATGTCAAATGTCATTACACCTAAAGTCGTCGTCTGTAGAGTACTGACTGGTTTTATTCTCAACGTGCATTTATTGAACGAAAATCAGGAACATCGCTTGTTCTCTAGTATCCTCTCTCACCTGAAACTAGTGGTATATTTTTGCTATAGACCTACCAAGGTTATAAGATATATAGCTTATGCTCGATATTTTCTAGTCTACTCAGTTCGGTTGTTCCATCATAGGACAGAACCTATTTTGTTAGAGAAACTTATTGAAATAATTTGTGCTGAGAATTCCATATTCTACTAAATATATAATGTTAAATAAAGCCATTTATAATAATAATAATATCATGCGCACAACTAGACAACTTAGCCAATAGAATAGTAAGTTCTTCCCGTGTCAGTGATCAGACACATTTTATCAAATTTGGTTGATAATAGCTATGGGGAAGGTAAAACTAAAGAATTCTAAACCATTTGTTTCCGACGTGATCGAAATCATCTTTAACACACATCAGAGATTATAGGAGTTCAACAAGTTTGTAATACATTATGGTTCTCATGACTAAAAAGGGCTCGGTAAGCAATCGTACAGGGTTTTATTCGTATTTATTCACCTAGTCATATAACTTCGTTAATCAGACACTGTTTTTGTTGTTACATGATCTTTATTGATGATGCTTCACAGTCTTGACCTACTTTAAATGCTTATGTATTTAACTTTTACCATGTTGCGTTTATTCATTTTATCAGTTTTACTTACATACAAATAAATTTTACTGGCTTTTATGTTTTACAACACGTATTTATAAACTGTACATTCATGTAAAGCCTGAAAAAAGTTTGACTGGAAGTGATATTAGTTGTAACGATTTGTATTTCTTCTTTATTCATGTTAATGACATACAACTGATCGGTCTCTAAAGGCATTTGTACATCTTGAGCGGTTTATGTTGATATCGCCATTTCGTCAGTAGTTCGCAGCAAAATATACTGGATTCTAGTGTCAATGTGAAGAGTAATACTGGAGAGCAGTTTAATTCAAATGATCAATCCAAATTAGGATGAAACGCGCGTTCTACATCCCAGTTGTAACTACTAATAAACTTTAATGAAAGCAGTACTGTTCACTCATGTTTTATTCGACTTTTGAACATTTTTAATATGTTGTGATTACTTACTTTTCTGTCAAATAAACAGAGATTGATTTAGTGCACAAAAAAAATTAGGAGAAAACACATCTAATTGTAAAAAACCAGATAGAAAAATCCCATAGTAAAATGATGTTAGAAATTAGTTAGTCTTTAAATGAGAAACATTTGTATAAGACGTATTGAATAATATCATTTGACGATTAAAATATGAGGTTCCATATTCATTGAACTATAACTTTAATACTCAGTGGTATGATTTTTTCCGCAAATCGATATGTTCATTTGACCTTAATCTATAATTGTCTGACCGAGTAATTAAGAACAATATGTGAATGCTTTACATTTTATTGAAACAAAAACATTGGGTGTTTTAAAATATTGATTTCTCATACATAAGAATGTTTATTTACTAATCCATCCATGGTCAATAAAATTATTGTTAGCCATCAAAATAGAAAATCATCATGTCAATCAATAAGATTGAGATTGTGGAGAAGATTTGTAGCTCAGGTGGATGATTTTGGTGGAGTTTTGTTCTCTGAGCTGGATGGTTTGGTCGTGGAGCTTTCATCGTCCTTCTAAATGACATCATCAGCACAAACTTCAAATAGAAGTCTTCTATCCAGCTCAGAGAACAAAACTCCACTAAAATCAATAAGATTGTTGGAAATAATTTGTATTCAGTTCTAAATATTGATTTGATATATGTTGCTGCACAATTATATCTTGTTACTCAGTTTAATGAAAGACTTCATTTAAATCATTAAGGAATGAGTTTATGTTCTAGCTATAATTCTATCATATGGTGGATAAGTTACTTTTGAAACAATTTATTGATAACTTCAACAATTGCTGCATTAAAAGATATCAATCTGAAGCTGTCTTCTGATAGTGATATACAATCAATATTGATGAATAATTTCTATAAAATAATTTAGTTTAAAGGATAATTTCAGTCTAAATTTCAATAATCAATCACTTTATAGACTGATAATAGCTGGAAAATTCTTGAAACAAAAGTGTTATCAAACATTTATATTGTTCTTTTATAGGACTACTCAATAGTATGCACTTGTATTTCTATACAACACAAAACTAAATTATAATCTTCACATAAATAAATTAATATATTTGTAATATCCTAATGAGCAGAAAAATTAAATTTTCTGACGTTTCGTGACTCAGTATAAGTCACTTCTTCAGAGAATAAATAACCAAATCAAAATTCATCCAAGTAAAAAGGATTTGTTCAGACCTGTATTTTGATTGATCCTACATAATATTCATGCAGAGTTCCTTTGTACTATTTGAATTTGGGTTAATTTTGATTTGGTTATTTATTCTTTGAAGAAACATCAGAAAATCTAATTTTTCTACTCATTCGGATATTATAATTATAATAATTTATTTATTTATAACAATCTAACCAATGCTCAATTTATTTGAAATTATCAAGTCAAACCTATGTCAACCAATGGATATGTTTCTCACAATCGAGATAAACATTCACCAAAATCACAGTATTTAGTAAAACTAGTAATATGTTGACAAATCTGAACAATTTCTGAATAACCTTGAGATTGTTAGACTCTTCATTAGTCAGTGAGAACGAGGACAGATTTAATGAAGAGTCAATCACTAAAATAATAGTCACATTTTGGTTTAATACAGTCTGTAAATTGTCAGTTTTCAAACTAAAAAATCAAAGTATTTCACGTGTAGAAACTGGTTGGTTCATAGGTGTTTGAGTCTATCGATTATATGCAACTTTGGTTCTGACACATATTCACCGGTTCAAGTTGCCATACCATGTTTGTGCAACAAGATAAAATCGTAATAACAAATCACAGAGTGTAAGCGAAATAGGTTATACATAAATGTTCATTAAAAAATGTCACATTGATTGAATGTTTATGTTTGGTGGCACCTGAGTTTCTTATACTTAATCCCTATATTGTATATTAGAGTAGACGATGATTGAGTTTGTGTAACATAAGTAAAGTTGAGAAAGAAAAGTGTGTGATTAGATTTCGTGTTGGTTGATCATAGTATTAAATAGTGATGCAAGATTTTCTTTGAAAAATGTACCATAATTCAAATGATCATCACTTGAAAACAATATGTAGCATGTACTTATGACAAGATTTAAAAGGGAATGAGAAAAACGCAAGAATTATTGGCGAAAGTATAATTTCTGGAAGAACCAATCATGTATAAGAAAACAGGTCTCATTTAGCTAAATAGAATCTTTGCATTATCTCTGATGTCAGTTCATGATGAAAACCTCAAATGAAATTCCTAACACTAACCATCAAATGTAAATCATAATTCGAATTCCTCACACTAATTTATAGGCGTCATTTAGTCTTATTTAATAGATGGACACTCTGCAGGTTAGTCTAGCGTCACTCAAAGGTCGTCCATATATTATAGTCTCATTGAAATTATCAAATCGAACTTGAATCATGATATCTATAAATACTTTACATCTCTTGACAGATTGAAATTAAAGCTAGACCACCATGGGAAACCTGGAAGCACTGGACTACCGTTTCGTCCTAGTATGGTACTCTTCAGCAGTGCGTATCCACGATTCCACACCCCGCGAGATTCGAACCCAGAACCTATCCGTCTCACACCAAGCGCTTAACCAACTAGACCACTGAGCCGGCCGATATCCAATGGTGTTAATGTCTAACTTCAACCAATCCACAAAGTTTTCCAAGTTTTCCATGGTGGTCTAGCTTCAAATGACTCATGATTTCAATCTGTGAAATTTCTAAAATCTCCACAAAACCCCGTTCTGATAATATTCTATTCGAGTTTAATTTCTACAACCTATTCAACTCAATAAAATATATTATTGGAATAATTTTCTTAATAATTTTAATGAATTTACTTTATATTTTATCGATTCTTTCCTTTTCTTTTTTTTTAATTAGGGTAAATTAGAAGAAAGATTACCATTTATGTCAATTATTGCACCGAAAGTATTCAAAGAAAAATGGTCTATTCAATGGGATAATATAAAATATAATCAAAATAGATTAATTACTTTATTTGATTTACATGCAACATTACGTGATTTATTAATGAATCAATTAAAATTACATAATAATAATAATAATAATAATAATAATAATAATATTGATTTTATTAAAATATTCAATAAAATTCATAGGAATTGGCAAATTAATCCTTCACATGGGTTATCTTTATTTAATAAAATACCGTTTGATCGTAATTGTGATGATGCACATATTAGTTCACATTGGTGTGTTTGTTTAAAATGGATCAAAATAGACCATAATAATAATAATAACTTAATATATAATTCAAATGATCTTATTATAAAAAGTACAAATGTAATGATTACTAAAATTAATGAAATGATTATTAAATATAAACCAAATTTAACTAAAAATGGACAATGTTCAATGATTAAACTTTATCAAGTAAGTTATATTTTGTTTAATGATATATTGTTATTTTATTAAGATTTATAAATGTAAATCTTAGTTCATACGATAGGGATGTTCTTAGATAATCATGATCAAAACCGGATGGATATTAGCAAAGAATACACGCTGATTTTGTCGGTCCAATATAACATAGAAATTACTTGGTTGTTGTAGATGCTTTCATAAAATGACCAGAAGTATGTGACATGCTGGAAATGATATCAGAGAGTACAATAAAAAGATTGTCAGGATTGTTTGTTTTGGGGTTCCAGAGATCTTGGTGACTGACAAATGCACTCAGTTTATGTCATCTACTTTCAAAGGGTTTTGTAGTGAAAATGGCATATCGCATTTACAGTCTCCTTGGTACCATCCTTAGTCGAATGGCCAAGCCGAAAGATTCGTGGATACGATAAAAAGGGCTCTGGTCAAAGGGGGAGGAGAGGGTTTCCCAGAACAAGTGATCAGTAAGTTCCTAATGTCTTACAGAGTTATCCTCAATCCGGTAGTACAAAAAGGAAAGTCACCAGCCAACTTTATGTTTGGAAGGAAAATCCGGACAGTCAAAGACAAATAAATCTACTCGTAGCTTCCAGGTGGGTGAAAGGGCACTTTTCAAATCGTATCAAGGTGATAGGAAGTGGCAACCAGGTGTTATGGTACGTCGATAATGTGCTGTACCTAGTTCAGAGAAATGTCGGAACGTGTATAAAACAAATAAATCAAATTCAAAGGGACGGCAAAACATCGACCACACAAAGCCGACTCCCGTTTCATTTGATCGTGAATACATCTCGAAAAAGCTCTCAGGAGAGTGAATGTAGAAGAGATAAAAGACACAAGGGAAAAGCGGCACAAAATTCGAGAGTTATGAACCGCAAGAGGAATGAGGTCACCAAGTTTCAGGTGGACCCGAGGAAAAAGTCTTACACAACAGACTTTAAAGCGGGGTAGATGTGAGAACACTCCATGGGTGAACTCGAGGAAGCCCTAAGAAGCTCAGAAAAAGCCAAAGATATTCCACCCATTGATCTTTTGTAGGAATATTCCAGAATCCCTACATGGAGATTCCCGATTAGACAAATGCTAATAACCCCCTGTATGCGGATTGGAAGACTATAATGATGATTTTGTTTTTACTAAAAAACTATAAATACCTGACAGTTTTGTATCATAATTGACAATGTTTGAAACAGCATTCTTTTCACTTGTCTTCTTTCTTCTCATTTGCGACTTGTGAGGGTTCTAGCGTTCGAGTGCTCAAGTTATACGCGGTATATTAAGCATCTAAGCTCTAGATATAACAGTGAATACCTTTAATTTAGATACTCCTTGAATAACATCTTTAAATCCTAATCTTTTCGATTACTGTTTATAGTTTTACTGCATCTTCCATTATAGGATTTAAATCGACAGTTGTATCTCGGTGCTAATGTGGTATGGCAATTTGAACTAATGAATGTACGTACGTACGTACGAAGTTCTACGTTGTTGCTGACTGACTGACTACAGTTTATTAAACATGTAATCTAGATCGATACCAACAATCGAAATTTTATATTTGAGTTGCACTTATCTGATGAAATCTTCAGTATAGTTATTTTTCATTTAATGGATAGTTCCATAAAAGACACATTTACAAAAAAATTAAAATAAATAGTTCGCTTTTCTAATATGAAGTAGAAATGATAGGAATACATGAAATGCTTACTTATTTCAAGTGTTTATATAATTTGTAACTTAAAATAGTAAAGATCATTTCATGTTTTTCGTTTGTTCATACAAATTATGTTATCATTGATGTACTGAATATGAGGCATCATTATAAGATATTAGTTTGTTTCTTTTTTGATAGTACAATGCGAAGGTCTAAAAAAAGTGTGAGATATTTGAGCCATACATTTCGTACAATCTTATCACATATATACTTGTCGAAGCATTTTATTGCTCAAGATCATGGATTGATTGAAGTTAGACATTAACATCGTTGGATGTCGGCTCAATAGTCTAGAGGTTAAGCGTTCGTGCACGAAACCGGTTCTCTAGGTTTAAGTGCAGCATATGAGATCATGGATACGCGCTAACGAGGAGTCCTATACTAAAAAGAAATAGCCTATCTTAGATCGACTTATGAATTCAACTTTTACAATTACTACAATCTTCACAACGCCCAATTCTGATAATAAACTAGTAAAAGTCAATTATCACGATTTTCGTCTATTTAAACACTTATTTCATTGACCTTTATTAATTTTCACATATAAATGCTTTGATAAGTATGTGTGAGTAGATTATATAAAATGTATAGCACAAATGTATCATATTTTACTAAACATCAACTCCGTCTTCTTATTGTTCTATGAAAATTTCTAAACGAGAATAATTGCTATAAATTTCAAGTATAAACGCTTAAAGAGATATATTGGAAAGTCACTTACTATTATCAGTATTGTATTACTTTACTTTTAAAGTATTCATTAGATAACGGACTACCTTATGGAATATTGCTCATATGATATTTAATTTCTTTAGATAATCAAAAATACAGAATTATCTGTATTCTGTAATGCATATACTATGAATTCTCCTTTCTAACGTTTGATTGAATGAAAACTATCAAAAATTAATGAGAGGTGAATATCAAGTGAATTTTACTTACTAACCAGGTTCATATTTATCAAGTGAATAAAATACTTACTCCTGACATATCGCCCAATTTATTCATTTGACTTTCAACTCAACTTTGAAATATCGTGTGACCTATCTATTTGATTTAGTTTATCTGAACTGATGACCTTACATATAATTTTAGAATAATCAATACTCATTGTGAATTTATTTCAAGCTTCGACACTGTAGTTCACTTACTGAAAATCTATATGAGGAATACTCTTTCTATGCTTAACATGAACTCCGATTTTTATCACTATCTATTTATTAATGACAAGTATAGAGAGGATTCAACTGCTTAATTTGTTACTTACTCTTATTGAGAAAATTCACTTCCGTTTGAAAAATAAAAATACCATATAAACTGAATAGTATTGAATGGTTGTTCTTTCTTACTGCTCACCTTCAAGAACACATTTTGCTTAATTGAAAAAACAACTTTGTTTCTTGAATATATTTAGAGCGAAATCTCAGTGAATGAATTTGAAGTAAATCGGCAATCTGGTCCAAGCTTTTTCAAGGAACCATAATCAAACATCAAGATTATCGATTACAAACAGTTAACCGTATACTAAATAGGTCATCTAACCACGCTAACAGTTTATAAAGTGAATTCACCTGGTATTGTTTGCTTGGATCTTCCCATCGATGCTTAGGACTTCAATTGATCAGTTTCTTATTGGTATACGTGGGTTTGAGCACATAAATGATTACATTTTAGGTTTTCCGAGAGTATGAGAAACAGTTAAACAGGAAAAGTTTTAGTACATTTCGAACATGATATATTGATAGGAGCAACAAGTGAGTAATGCTGAGATGTGTTGTAAATTAAAGTATAAAATAATAAATCAGTTCATTGGGTTATAAAATCTGAACACTCAAAAGAATGCTAATCAATAACTTAAGGCTTTAGGGGGGCATTGGTTCATGCTATTTACATCCCCTCTCTTTTGATTCTCATAGTAATTCCCTATTTGTATGCTGATGTGAAACGTGACAACTTGATCTGATATACATTCATTCCAAATATACTATTGAAAAGTTCGAAAACTAGTCCAAAATTGCTATCCGATGCCCATTAATTTTTCTATGGTTTCCTATTTGATATTAGTTCATAATGAAAATATTTTTTCATATTTAAAATGCCTTAGTGAATTTGGATACAATAATACATATTTCTTACTTATTTCAGATTAAATCAGTAGAACAAGCTATACTGCCACAAGATATGGTTCGATTTATTCGCAGTCAAGATGAAGATGGACGTATACCAATGTTTCAAGAACAATCTACTTCATCATGGTCATTACTAGATTGGATTAAAAAATTCAATATACTAAACAACAATAATAATAATATTAACAACAATATTTTTAATCATGATTTCATTCATGAAAGTATACTTTTACGTATACATATTATAGTACAACCTGAATATGCACATTTCGAAGCTACTGTTAAAGTGAATATAACACAACATTCATTGAATAATTTTCATGTAATGGATATAAGTCGAATTGATCTCTATGAACAACATAATTGGTGTTTATCGGATAATGAGTGGGCAGAAACTAAACAATATTGTATATGTCAAAAATACACTTAAAATGTATATAACTGAATTAAATTACATGTAGTATATATATATATAAATTCTTAATGGATAGGTTGTCTACAGTTGACTGATCACTAGATAGTACTACAGGAGGTGAGCTGCAATGCGGATAGCCTTTAGTGGCCCGTTATTTTACGCCAGTCAGATCGTACGTTATTGTTGACGAACTCAAAACATTTGTGGCCCTATATCTGACTCCATTAATATCGTATGATTCATTACTATTGAAATATACATGTTGCCAAACCTCGCATATAATTATCGACTTAACTCGTGTTAGTGAATAACAGAATTAAGTAAGTCAAACACGAGAATGAATTTCAAAGACGTATTTCTTACAATCGTTGATCCAGACAAACGAGTAGAAGAAAGTGAAATGAAATGGCGTGTAGTGGTGTGAGCCAACTCCATAAAATCAAGAGTTAATCGATATTTATAGTTGAACAAAAATAAATTACAAGCATGTAATAAGATAAGGAGTGAGCATACATACATCCATATAAAAGCTGTTAACGTTAAAAGGCGAATAGTTAACAAGATCAAAGTGTAACTCAAGGTAAGTGAATGGAATGGCCTGTCCGGAAGCTAAGACAAGTTATGTCGGCTTAATATAGTAACCGACACTACAAGCCCAGTATTAACTTTTCTGACCTTAAGGTCGGGTGACACGGGATCAAATCTGCCAAGGAGCGTTAGTTCCCTCAAGATTACAGGTACATTTTGCTGTCAAGTGCCAAACAGCAGGAAACCCAGGTTCAGGGTTTCCTGTCGACTACCTCCAACCACCACTTTACATAGATTAACTGTTCCAGTCAAAATAAATCACTAATTAAAATAAGCAAACATATATATGTTTGTTGAGGAAATGTTTAATTTTCATCATGGCATAATTTTATTTGTTTGACGTCCTGGTGATACGTACTATAGGACTGATCCCTAGAAGTACGACCGCTGTTGCTACCTTGACGTGGTGGTCGGGCTTGCCTATCGTGATGAAGCAACCGAGCTATACTGGCTGGAACAACTGTTCCTCAAGGTCCTACCATGTCAGACAGGTCGGTTGAAGAGCGGTAAGACTAAAAGCAACAAACCCAAGGTCCGAAGGCGAAGTCGTACTGCTGACTGTACAGAGGTGTGACAGCAGTAAGGTGTTTCCTTCAGACAACCAGCATGACAGCGATGCTGCCTTCCCACAAGGAGGGGTGGGGTTAGAAAAGGTCGACCCTAAAAATGCACACCTCGCCTTATCCCACGGATATCCGTCTCCGGCGGTAAGGTCTCAATAAGTACGGAGCTAACACAAAAATTACCTATAACAAGGTCGTGTGTGACCGACCTTGAGCAGTTGTCCCTTGGGCACTGCGGTCACGCTCTCAGGTCACTAAGACCACCTTTAATCCAAATTCCTTTTCAGGTACCTCCAGAAGAACCCTTCCACGGTGTGGGCAACCGGGAAGTGAAAACCGCCCTCATACCTCTAACAGCACTCAAGACCACTGTATTCATAATCAACCTTCCTCTTCAATTCCTATTATTCCTCCTACATCGTCTTTCAACTTTAAATTTCCTCTCTCGGCTTCCACCTCAAGTGTCACCATAGCCAACGATTCTAGTGCGCAAAATACTGTCCCAGGTCTACTGAAACCTCGCTCCAAACTACACATTGGAGCCTTCAACGTACGAACCCTATGTCAAATCGGTCAGCAGGCTTCCTTGGCTAAAACCCTAGAGTCTCTTACCATTGACGTGTGCTGTGTCTCCGAAACACACATACAGGATTCCAGTGTGGTCATTCACTTGACCTCACCTCGGCAAAACGGAGAGCCAACGAGGTACACCCTTCGTGTATCTGGTGACCCGATGGCAAGTTCTCGTGGACTGGCAGGTGTAGGCATAGCACTAAGTATGAGGGCGGAACAAGCACTGCTAGAGTGGATCCCCGTCAACAGTCGTCTATGTGCTGTTCGGCTGAACGGCTACGTAAGAACTCGGAAGGATAGGGACACACGTCGTTGCCTTTTTGTCGTTTCTGCCTACGCTCCCACTGACTGCAACTCAGATGATGTGAAAGATGAATTTTACAGAAAGCTGTCCGAACTTCTTCAGAAAGCTAAACGCTCAGACATAGTACTCGTAGGGGGTGATTTTAATGCTCAGATAGGCAGTTTAAACCAAACAGAAAGGCATTTAGGTGGATATTTTAGTATTCCGACACAGCGAACAGATAATGGTGATCGTCTGCTGCAGCTATGCTCAGACAATCGTTTATTTTTAGCAAACACAAATTTTAAGCATAAAGAGAGACATCGTCTAACATGGCGACCCCCTACACCAAACCAACGATGGACTCAAATAGACCATATTGCCATCAGTCATCGTTGGAGAGGGTCGGTAGAAGATTGTCGCTCATTCTGGAGTACCTGCTTGGACTCCGACCATGCCCTAATACGGGCACGCATCTGCTTGCGCCTCACTGGACGCAAAAAAGCCACATTAAAAAGACCCGTTAGAACTGAGTTGAGTAACGAGAAAACCAAAAGTAGGTTCCAGGAACAACTGAGGTCACACTTAGGTAGTTGTGAAGACGAGGCTGACCCAGATGTTGCTTGGAAGGGCATACAATCAGCTGTGGAAACAGCAGTGACATCTATTAGTGACTTAAACCACAGAGTTGCAAGGAACCAGTGGATTTCTTCAAGGTCTGTCACACTGATGGATTCTCGCAAACTCGTCCCATCAGGTTCTGAACATGATGAAGAGCGAAAACAAATCAGATCTAGGTTAAGAAAAAGTCTAAAGAACGACCGTGAGCAGTGGTGGGCATCGAAAGCAAAAGAGATGGAAAAGGCGGCGACTATAGGGAACACAAGACAGCTTTACAGACTAATAAAAGAAACTGGAATTAATAAGTCAAGTGTAAGTGAGATTATATCGGAAAAAGACGATACACTCATCTGCTCCAAGTCCAGGCGTTTAGAACGATGGGCGGAACACTTTAGGGAACAGTTCAGCTGGCCTTCAGCTACTCTACAACTACCCTCCATTCCCAGACAGTGTGAATGGAACATTGAAGTAGGTCCCCCGACTCTTGCTGAAGTTCAAAAGGCTATAGTTTATCTGAAACGAGGAAGGGCAGCTGGTCCAGATGGATTGGCTCCAGAGGTCTTTAAGGATGGTGGTCCAATTTTAGCGATTAGGTTGACTAATATTTTAGCTAAGATCTGGGAATTAGACTTTATTCCATCTGACTGGTCGCAATCACTTATCGTCCCAATATATAAGAAAGGGTCAAAATCATCCTGTGACAACCACAGAGGGATTAGTTTAACAAACATAGTATCTAAAATACTGGCCTCGATAATTATCAAACGCCTAACTAAGACTCGTGAACTACAAACTCGAGAGAACCAAGCTGGCTTTAGACCTGGTCGTGGCTGCATCGACCACATATTCACCATCCGTCAGATTCTAGAACACAGGCATACTTATCGGCGTCCGACGATGGTGGTATTTCTTGACTTAAAAGCAGCATTTGACTCGGTAGACCGCGAGACTCTGTGGCAGTGTCTGTCATTGAAAGGCGTACCTCAGAAGTACATAAACCTTGTGAAGGCTTTTTACTCGAACATTACTAGTCGAGTCAGGGCTTATGGCGAACTGTCATCTACTTTTGCAACCTCAAGTGGTGTCCGTCAAGGCTGTCCACTTTCTCCATTTCTGTTTAACTTCATCATAGACCTATTGATGGAAATAACATTCTCGTCGACTGAATTCTCGGGTATTGATCTCCTTCCAGGAGGTCCACTTATCGACTTAGAATACGCAGATGACATAGTCCTGTTTGGTGAAGACGCTGAGAAAATGCAGAGTCTTCTGGTAGCACTGAGCAACAATGCCAGAATGTTTGGGATGCGCTTCTCTCCCTTTAAATGCAAGTTGTTGCTTCAGGACTGGTCTGCGTCAACACCTAAACTAAGGATAGGGAGTGAAGTAGTTGAACGCGTTGACAACTTCACTTATCTTGGAAGTCTGATCAGCCCTAATGGGTTGGTGTCTGACGAAATCTCAGCACGGATTCGAAAAGCTCGTTTGGCTTTTGCCAACTTACGTCACCTTTGGCGAAGGCGAGATATACGTCTATCAATAAAAGGACGAGTATACTGCGCGGCAGTCCGTTCTGTTTTAATTTATGGCAGCGAAACATGGCCATTAAGAGTAGAAGACACCCGTAAGCTACTAGTATTTGACCACAGATGCCTTAGAAATATTGCTGGCATCTGCTGGGATCACCGGGTAAGTAATAGTGAGGTTAGACGCAGGGTATTAGGGAATGATGGTAAATCAGTTGATGAGGTTATGAATCTTCATCGACTGAGATGGTTGGGCCACGTATTACGTATGCCTGAACACCGATTACCACGACGTGCAATGCTAACCGGGGTATGGGATGGTTGGAAGAAAGTTAGGGGCGGCCAAACCAAAACGTGGCATCAGTGCCTGAAGTCACTAACTTCTAGTCTGAGCCATGTTGGTAGATGCAGACTACTTGGTTGGGGTCCGCATGACTATCGTAACCAATGGTTGGAGACTCTTGGTGACATGGCTCAGAATCGATCACAATGGCGTCGGTGTATACACTCCCTGTCTTCCCTTAAACTAAGAGACTAAAATCACTTCATTCTTTCTGTCTACGAACTAATTCTTTCTTCCTATACTATATCCTTACTGCAACCTTTGACCTAACCACTCCTATGAATCCACTGTTCATCTTGCTGTGCTAATGAGGTATGGCAACCTGGACCGATGCACATATGTGCCTGGTCCTACGTTGTAGCTGACTGACTGACTGACTGACATAATTTTATTTGATTGAACATTGAAAATAAAGAAGCACCAGACATCTGTTCAAAATAAACGTTAGGCTTTCATCAAAAGACACTATGAAACAGTCATTATCGTTACTGTAAGCAGTCAGAAATCTTTCTTTTACAGACTCATGGAGATTTTTTTATTGCTCATATCTATTAAACCATACATTGTAGCTACACCTTTGTTGTCTTCAAATGTTGGGTTATGACTTTTGGGCTATGGAGGACTGGACGTTTTTTACTTAGTGTGGGACTTTTCAACATTGTTTGCTTACAACCTCGTCAAGGATTGAACTCATCTCTGAGTGTCATGACAGACAAATACTGAATTTACAGACAGTTGCTTTCGGTTAGGTAGGTTACTAAATCAAACTGGGTATGTTGAAACACTAATAAATACATATGAAACACTTGAGTGACTTTCACTGTTTTGTACCAGAAAATTGAGTGTCCTATTTCGGGTTGATGCTTCGTCGTATTTACGGTATCACGTAAACAATACTGGATTAATAATATTAAATTTGTTGTTAGTGACAGAATGAGCTTATATGAATTGTTTCATAAGCTTAAGAATAAAATGTTTCAGTACACAGTGAGCAGTACTAATGATCAGTTATGTTATCAATTTACTGACAATGACGACAACCTACGTTGTTCGAGAAAATTGTATGATCAATTGGGAAATTCCACTTCTGGACTAGTTATGTGTTTTGACTTACGACAACAGCTCTCGACATTATCACTTGAGAATAACGTCTTCTGATACAGATGAACTTCGGTAAACAATTAAATAGTTAGCCTATCTTGAGAAAACTAACTAAATAAAAATAGCGATTGTTTTCAAAGATAAACCTGTGAAAATTTCAGTCACTTTAATTACTACATAATCAAATGCTATATCCGATAACTTAGAGCGAAATGAGTCAAATATATGAGCAACTAGCATAGATCACCATAAAAGATTTATTAATTCTTCAGTATTTTAGTCATTCATCGAATGATATGGGATACAAAAGTATTATTCGATCCAGACTAGTGTAGTATAATTAATGTTTTGAAAATATTTATATATATATATATATATAGATTCGAAAATTTGTCAATAAATGAATGCAAATATCTATGGTAATTCGAAGGCAACTATAATCATTAACGTGCCATTCTAGTTGTAAGACAATATTTCATTCATTGTTATATACCCAATTGATATTTCTTTCTATGAACAAATTTATAAAAGCGATGAACAATAATTGAGATTTCCAAAACAATAGTAAAGAACCATTATTATTTTTGTTGTTAATGAAATTACTAGATTTATGGGTAAGAGGCTACAAATATGATGTAGTTATAGAAACAATTTAAAAACTATTGTCTTATATTGACTAATAGGCATTTATTAGTCACATTTTATTGGGTTGTTTTTTAATATTTTGCTTAAAAATAACTAAGTTGAAATCAATCAAACAAATAAGAAACAAATATTAGTCATAACAATATTACATTAAGTAATAAACTAATTAGAAAGGTCATGTTTGTAAAACTCAAGAGCACAAGCAAATGAACTTTCATTTCCCCCGCCCCAATATAATAATCAAACGATAGTTCCCTATATGACAATGGTTAACACCAATACTATTATTAGTGATCTAAATACTTATAAATAAAGAAGAGAGAAAAGGAAGAAGTCAAGGATGAATGCATTCTGTTACAGTATGATAATCATAATTTATGTTGATGTGTTTGTTTGCATCAGATCTAATTCAAGCATTATATTACGAATTGAATACATACTGAATAAGAATAACATATAGCAGTCATAATTAGCGAGTTATTGGTAATTTGATAACATTATAATAGGGGAATTAAAAATATTCTCTACATAAAATACTTATTGCAGGTTGAAAAACATTAACATGTAAAGGAAAGGAGAGAATAATTTTTTTTTTCTTTAAATCATCAGTGGAAAAAGTTATTTTCTTTCTTTTTTCAAATTACTAACTAGACTAAATGACAATAGGGGAACAGGTCGTGAAGATATAGGACAAAAAAGTGTATTCATAAAAGGTGAACGTCTGAATATTTGTTTGATAAAACTATTTCTTTTCTATAGCTGGTTCAAATGGAGGTGGTAATTTAATGGTTGATGGCTCAACACCCCATATATCTCGAGCATATTCACGTATAGTACGATCAGAAGAAAATTTCCCGGAGGAAGCAATATTCATAAGCATCATTTTTGACCATCTTAGTTCATCCTACGAGTGAAAATAAAGACGTAATAGTTATTATTAATATTGCTATCATTATTATTGTTATTTTCATAAACTTGAATTAATACCAGTAGTAAAAGTATATAAATTCACCCGGAGCTCCTCCAAAGTTCCAAGCCTGAGAAGAGGAAACAGGCTATAGTTAGCAACCCCAACTCATGAAATAAAACCCTAATAAAAAGACCCAAATTAGTAATAGTATGAGCCACTTTTGTGTATTAAATTATAAGCAACGTGGTAACTTGTTTTGCTACGATAAATGATAAATATTACTTGCTAAAATCAGGAGTAGCATTCAGATAACTATCTTTTGAATAAGGAATAAAAAAAATCGGATTTCGCTAAAGCAAATAAAATAGTTCTATTTAATTAGCTTCAAACAACTTAGAATATACTCCATGTGCATCAACGTATTAAAGATTGAAGGAAAATTGAACCAGAGAATTAATACGTCACATTAAACCTTGATAGCTTTTTGGTTCTCAATTATTTAGTTAAATCCGTATGGTTACAGACTTTCTAGTAATGTTTACTTGTACTTCAGTCTTTAACTTTGCTGTTCCGCTTATTTTTTTATTGTTAGTGAAACTATTAGTTAGTACTTACTTGTTTGAAATTATTTTAACTAGTTTACAGCCCTCGAAAAATTACATATACAGGATAAATTATTCTTATTAGTCTTCGAACTAATCGGATTAATAGTATGTTAACAGCACCAGATTAAAAAATTACAAAGAATGAAATTGAACACATCGTTTTCATTTATCTAGTCTAAAATGAAGTTATCAATGACCATCTGAAGATATTTAGTTTTGACTTACTTTGTAAGCTTCCTCAACTTCTTGTTGCACACGTATATAACTTGCATAATCTGCACATAGCAGGAAGCGATCATCGAATGCTAAGCTATTATATATATCTTTAAATAGATGTGGATTTTCCGGAGAGAAGAAGCCATCCCGAATTTGTTCCAGACATAATTTCAATTCTGGTTCTTTTTCAATATATTCTTGTGGATGATAGCTAAAAAAGTGATAAGGCAGATAAAGACCACGATTTGCTGAGTTAATATATCAATACTGATTAAAATTGTAGTTGACACTTGAAAGATTATCAGTCTATTTTTAGATCAAAATAATTAATAGACAACATAATCAGTAATTTGCATTCGAATCCGGAGTGGAAATCAACTCCACGATGCAGGCGAATCCAGTGAACGAGTCAAAAATGGGAGGAAACACGCCGCCTGGATTCCACTACTAGCCAAAAAATCATCTCCATTTATAATAGTTTACATATTTTGACTAAATCACCAAGTATAATCAATTATGGACTAATGTATGAATGAGAGACACTGGATTTTTTGTGTACATCTACACTTTACGTGATTTATACCAATCACTTAGTTCTAACACAAAGCAAGTTAAAACTAATGAGGTTGTTAATTAACAATTGGACTATTCAAAATAAACTTAATGAACTAATGTATTTAGTTATATTGAGAAAATATTTCTATTTGAGAAGATCAAAATAGAATTATGTCTAAAAAGCAGATTCATTGAAATACTCGCTCCACAAGGAATAAATATATTGATATTAATACTATTTTTAAAATATGAGAATATAGTAAAAGATGATAATGTAAATATTACCATAAAACTATATTGCTTAACGTTGTCTCTGAAAATGGAGATAATTAAAGACAAATATATCAAAATAAAACTTGACAAAAATGTAGGTAGATTTAATTGATCATATTTTGTTAAAAGAACAAAAAGGAGAAATAACTAATCAAAAGATATAAGAATAAAGAGAAATAATGGATCAAAACATTCTCAAGATTCTGAAAATAAAACCAGGGTGTATCTAAACCGTAGTAAATGACACTGAGCTATATCATCTAGGTCTTCAATCTTAAGTCATCAAAAAAACCATTACAACAAAAGTCTATAACTTCATTCAAGAATGACCAGGCAGAAAGTGTTTTGATAATTTTATGCACCAACTAACTGAGTTGACACAGGTGAACAAACATAATATGTGATTTACACAATTTACCAAAGAACATAAGCTCAACGAAATCGTTAGCTTGTTAAGGGATTAGATATTATAAAGAGGACACTTAGAAGGAATTAGGAATCAAATACTTTCAACTATGACAGAATTTTCTTGTCACAACTACTATAACAGACTGTTATTAACACATTCACTTAATTTAAGATATAAATTAACTGTAACAGATTGATAAATATAAATAAGAGCATGATAATTAAAGGAACGAGTAGCAGATAATTATATTTTAAGAGTAACACTAACCAGATCAGATTATTACATATCCCAAAGGGCCGTTTCATGAATTAGAAAATGAATTAATCAATAAGGGAAAACAATAAGTTTAATTTAAATAATCCGATAAATCCACTCATGTTAATTTTGTTTATTGGTTAATGAAGTCTCTAATATCAAGAATAACATAAATAAATTGGATAATTTAAGTATATGGATTACATAAATTTCTGACATTAATGAAACGATTCAACTAGCTTATGCGTGTTAAAATCCCTATTGGGTACCAAGAAACAATATAAGTAAGACAAATAAACCTAAATTTTAATCAAACATCATTAAATTAAGTGAACTTATTGGACAGGTAATCTAATAAAAAATATCAATTGCTATAAAAGAAAAAAATTTAATACAAGAATACAGAACAGTGAAATATAGGAGAAAGTTGTTATACACAATAATTGAAATTAGAAACATATGTACTAAAACGGGTTTTCAAGCTTTATCTTACTAATGTTTAATTTAAATAGCCCCCAAATACCCTGGTACGACCGAGAGTGGGGAGAGTTCGCTCTCCCTCTCGAAATGCTCTCACATGGCCACATATATATAGCCTCTGACAGGGAAGTCCTACCCACTGCCTTCTCGTGGCATTACTGTTGTTTACGAAAATGAGAGGACGAAAAGCGAATGTCCGGCGCTTTTACCGGATTCCAAATCAATGGTGCACGTGGGCTCCAGTATCCTGCGGGAACAAATGGCGTATGAACCAATTGTTGGTCACCGGCTACCATGGGACTGCATCTCCTTACAATGCTCCACTGCCTTGTGAATCAGACCTTCAGGTCGAAGGCTCCGGGTGTGGCCGCCTAAGAAAACCACCTGCTTAAGTTTGGGCACCCGGGCAGTATCACAGCCCTCACATATATCGAATGAGATTTGTGTGGCGCATATGTATTTGGTGCCTCCTTGTACCAATATCTATGTGTTAAAATAAATAATTAATTAATTTCAATAATCAATACTAAACTTAGGTACTTTGTATAGATAGTAAAAGAATGACTAGAAACGTGTTTAGTACAGTGATTTTTTTAAACATCGTAAACATATTTTACAGTTTTTATTTAGAACAATCTAATCAACTAATAACAACATGTAGTTGAATTAAGAAATAATACATTTATATGTGTTATTAATTGTGAATAAATACATCATTATTTCAGGTCATTAATAAAGTGTAACTTCTTTTCATATTTGTTATTTCTATCAGTAGATATATTAGAATTGAATAAACAACACAAGTTTACTATTGTCCATAATGACATTCTGTTAACTGGAATGAATTTTATATTTAAATGGAAAAATAATTAATGTTAGTAAATTACTGTTTACTATGATATAAGAGTGAGAAATAATGAATATTCTACACTAGTTAGAATTTATTGAAATCATAAAATTTATTCACCTTAAATAAAGTAAAGACTTAAGTGTTAAATGAAATAATTCAATATTTATTATGAGGATGGTGAGAATGGTTTAGTTGGATTGAATAACGTAGAAACGAATAAGAATTCATTATCAGTGGGTTTGATTTAGTCACCTGTATAACATTTTGGATTGAGTTGTAGAATTGAAACTGACTATACATAATTTCTTCTTATCACTAAGGTAATACTGTCCCATCTTAAACTACTTTTAACTAAGTTACATACCACCCTGTTTCGTCATTTCGCGAAATTATATTCGGTTTGGGGTTATGGATCAACCTATTTAGATAAGGCTGTAGAGATTCATCACCATAAATAATCTTCAGACGAAAGACAGCATCTATCCTCATGAACACTGAGTAGTCCACACAGGAGTCATTCTTTTGTCATCCCAACCGTCTGGCTAATTACTTAAGCACACATTTTAATGTCCGTAGAATCAGATATGACAAGGATGAATAACAACTGGAAGGAGCTGGAAAGGATTGCCCAGGAGAGAGTTGGATGGAGAATGCTGGTGAGTGGCCTATGCTACTTTACGTGGAGTAACAGGCATAAGTAATTAAGTCGTACATGGAGGCTTGTGTGCATATATATATATATATATATATATATATATATATATATATATATATATATGACAGACCCTTTCTAGACAAATATAGAGAAACTAAGATGTACATGATACCTAGTTTATTGTCCAAAAAGGAAAGGAAAATGCAAGTTAGAAAATTCATGTTATTTGCTAAAGTGTAGACAGCCATACAATAATTTGATCAACAAGGGGGAAAGGAAGCCAATAACTTATGTAAGCCATAAAAATAAAATAATTTCGACAGTTAGGCAAATAAATGATTGAGAAATTCATACTGTTATAATTTTATATTAAATCTTACCCAACTTTGTGAAGAGCATCAACTTGCTCTACGGTTAGACCAAATACAAACATATTCTCTCGACCCATTTCTTCGCACATCTCTACGTTTGCTCCATCCATAGTACCAACAGTCATAGCTCCATTGAGCTGAATATAGAACAGTATACAGAAAAAAACTCAAGTGAAATCAATAGGTTTTTTGTGGAACCTAAATCTGCTAACGACACTGTTATATAATGGCAAACTCTAATGAAACTTAATCTCTTTCTGATAGAAGAGTAATATTATCAAAAGACCATGACTATACATTTTCTTACTCAGCATTTCAAGAAAGTTCACAACCTTCATTTAGTTTAGTAATTACATTTCGTCTCTTATTCAGCTAGACTACATTGGCTTTAAAAATAGTAGTACAACAATTGTCATTGTCTCAATCAAGGTTAGTAAATATTTTTTTCGAGATCACATTCTAAGTGTCTTGTTACTTAGTCAAGATGATGTCAATTTCATATAGTTTTGAACAAAAAAGGAAATCTATCAGCCTCCACTGAGAACACAAATTAATACGTATCCCGTATGATAATAATTAAAAGAAGTAAATACAATAATGTTTGTTCAGAAACAGTAAAATACATTAGAACTACAACTTAAAGTAAGAGAGATGATGTATTTTACCTTCTAAAATATGATAGTTATTTTCTAACCAAGTATTAAGTTAATGCAGAACTTGTAGAAATCAGAAATAAAAAAAAATAAACAGAATGTCTATTAACAAGTCAATATTTCGCATTTTATGTGTAGACTAAATTTAAACAATTTTAGTGACTTACCATAAATTTCATGTTACCGGTACCCGACGCTTCTGTACCGGCTGTAGAAATTTGTTCTGACAATTCAGCGGCGGGGAATATTTTTTCAGCCAAAGATACACGATAATTTTCAAGGAAAATAAGCTACAATACAAAACGTGTGTAGAAACAGAGATGGAAATAACATGTATGTTGATTACGAAATACCAATACAACGTGGTATGGTTGCTTGTTATGTAAAAACTAGGTATATGCAAGCATAAAATTGTTGTTATGTTATTAAATTGGACTCTATACTGAGGTTGACTTTTCGGCTGCCACGTGTATAAGTTTGAAGTCGAATTCCTAGTGAATTTTTCATGGGATTAACCGCAAAATGGGCAAAACTGAATGTGGTGATTTCCAGAAAGTTAAAATATTTACTAGCGAGGAAAAAGGTTTTCTATTTGATCGAGATCATTTAGCTTAATTAGGACGTTAACATTCAATTCGTCCAATTTCTTTAACTATGAATTTTTCAAACCAGAGTAAGTACACAGATATCCAAGTGTTCTCGGTTCTTTAACCAATATGTCCATTAATTATGATATAGAACATCTATATTTCTGAATTTGCTAGCTAACAATAACAAACGAGGAAGCTTAGTCATACAATTAGTAAGAAAATAAAAGGTGTAGAGTCATATTTCAATTATAGTCAATTAGTGAGCAATTTTTAGTTTTTCTGTAGAATGCCTAGTGAACTACCAAAGGGATACAACAATAATTAATAACACTTACTTTAATTCTACCACGTACAACTGGATCATTATTGACAACTTTACCTACGGAATTGATCAACTTGATAATAAGTTTGGCCATATGATAACCTGGAGCAGCTTTACCCCCAATCATAACTGTACGTGGACAGATTGGTATTTCAGGATTAGCTTTAATACGATTGTACAAAGTGATGACATGTAAGCAGTTTAATAGTTGACGTTTGTACTCATGAATTCTTTTGACCTAACATTTGGAAAATCAAGAAACTTCCGTCAAAAAGATATATATATATATATATATATATATATATATATATATATATATATATATATATATAATTAAAAAAAGTGGTTATTGAACTTCAAGATAAATAAAGATTATAAAAGATCGAACGTAGAATTTCGAAGGTTCAAATAGTTGGCATTCACTGTATGTGGTAGGAAGGTTAAGTTTAATATGGGTTGTATGATAGCAAAGATAGGAAACCTGAGAAGTTTTGACATGTGATGCTGAATCCTATGGTATGTAATGAATCTATTGACTTGTCCAGTATCGGAGATATTTTTTGTTAAATGAACCAGATTGATACTTTGATATAACTGACAGTAATGATAACAGAGTCGAAATGAACTCTTTTAGTGAATATTTGTTGTTAATTTATGCATGTTCTGTATGTAGTTTAGGAATTTTTATCACTAACCTAAAAATAGAAATAGTACAATTGGAAGAAGCATTTTATAGCCTACCCCCTCTACATTAACTGTAACCAACAGAAGGGAATGTTTAGTGAAAAACTATTCATGCTAAACCCTGAAAACTCAGTGATAAATGCAGAAGAAGGAATAAAGCGCTTCTCAAATAGATAGAATCTCTTAGTAGAAGTTCATGAGTTAGAACAAATTTACTCATACTTTGACCGACACTTAAAATTTGAAATCATTCTAATACCAACATTCAGCTGTTTGTAAGAAACAAGTGAACAACCAAACCCTTATTTTACATAAATGATTGGAACACATCAGCGGTACCACTTAGTGTGAAGCGAATGCATCGAAGCGGGTTTTATTAAGTGAATCGAAACGTATTTCTAACTAAAAATCTTGTTGAATACACCAATGAGGTACACAACTCAATGAATTAGCATTTGTCTTATTAAAAAAATAGAACTGACAATATCAGCAATGAGATATGTGAGGAGACATTATGACTCAAGTTTAATTCCTCATCACTGGTTGTGTCGGTTCTGAAATCCTAATCTCAGTCGGTTTATGATGCGGCACCAGCACCATTCGATGATTTGAGGTGTCAATCAAAACAAATATCAAGCTAAATACCTATCAAAGACGCCACAACGTTCAAAATTAAGGTCAGTTTATATAATTAATCATTTTAAACAATCATGATATTGGCAATTTATTTTCGAAATAATTACATAATTATTCATCAACATATTTTACCAAAATTAACTGAAGAAAGTAAATCTCACTTGGATATCAAATAGAGATGCTGGGTTGATTGTTACACCATAATGTTGTTCCATATAAGAAGCAAATTTAGCCTTGTTTTCCCGTTTGATACGTATCAACTGACGTAGAAAATTAACATCATTTACACGTGATTTTAACTGGGCGATTTCGTTAAGGTTAACAATCCATGATTCACTGCCATTCATTCCTTCCATAATTAAGTCTGACAAATTTGGATTACATAATAGCAACCAACGACGAGGTGTAATACCGTTTGTTTTATTCTGGAATTTATTTGGCCATAATTCAGCGAAATCTTTGAAACTATAGCGAAACAAAATTGTACAGGTCAATAAGAAAAAGAGAATAATCAATGGTGAGTACTGGAGGTATAAGATAAGTCTCAGTTAGTGACTATATAGAGAAACAACTATATGAGAAATAACAACATGTAATGGTTATCAGACTAAAAGGTTAAACACCTGCTGACTGTATAGCGTTTCTCTTACAACGAAATATGAGCCAATTTTACTTCGTTAACTTGGATGACACTAAGCAACTATTTAAATGAGAGAAATTGAAATGAGTTTAAAACTTTATCAGTAAATAAATTTAACTGACAAGTCACAATTCATTGAGTAGAAACGAACAATTTGTATTGAACAAAAGATATTTTAGCGATTATAATTTAATGTTACAAGGGTTTGAATCATGAGTTTTACATGAAAACTAGAGATATAATTCGACCATTCAGACTGAAGTGGATTGGTTTTTCAAACATGTGACTAAGCGGGAAAAGCCGAGTTCTTGTGCCGCGGAAGCTTTATTATACAAGTTAACAGAATGATTTTATCCCATAGATCCTAACTAACTGGATGAAAAACTAGCAGTTAATATTGGATTTGCAAAGAGAGAAACCGTTACGAATGATGACAAACATTAAAGATGTGATGGACTTCTCAACAAGAAAAGTATTAGTTGTTGTAATAAAACATTGTAAAACACAATAAATAAAGATATGAACAGACGATGATGGTATCTAAGTGAAAACCAAAACAATTATAAGGAGAAGTGAACTTTCTAGGAAGTATAATAACTTCTATTCGCGAAATAAAACACCATCTATGAAAAAAATCACACCAACTGCGGAAAACACAACAACTTTCGCATATAAGAGCACAGAATAGGAATGAGGTGGCATGATATGTTATCATATCAATGTACGTAAAAAACAATAGGCATGAATTCGGTTACGAAAAGCCTCGAAATAATGGACTGAGGATCTTTTAAAGTGCTGAGAAATTTTAAGTGGTGTCTCATTTAGATTAACTGACAGTCAATTTACATATCGACAGACATCCCATTTATCAACTCATACTTAAAAAGTCAACTAATCACATGGTTAAAGCTCAACTGAAAAAGACAGTCAATATGAATACAACAATATATGGAAAGAACAAAACCAAGGAAGACAACCAATTACAAGACAATCAATACGCAAACCCCATTCTGATATATGGAACGGTTGGATTCACAAACTGATATTAGCTAGACCACCAGTCAAAGCCTGGAAGCATCTAACAGCAGCATTCACTCATGACTCCCGAAATAGCTCACTAATGACCAGCTCTCAGTTCAAGTATGAAGCCATGACCGGTGGAATTCAACCACATCAGAAGTGAGGCAACTATCCACCGGAAGTAGTAGATAAAGTTGCGGAATATCTTTAGTTAGTTAAAGTTGGACATGTGCAACATCGGACGCCTACTCAGTGGTCTAGAGGTTAGGTGTACGCTCACGTGTCTGGAGGTCTTGGGTTCTATTGCAGGATGCTGGGTTATAACTGTGTATTGCTGTGGATTCCCATAATAGGACGAAACCTCTATTTAGTGCTTTTCGGTTTCCAATAGAGGTTTAAACAGTATTAATTCATGATTTGACCTAGGAAAGTTCTGCGGTCTCCATATCTCTCCCTACAGTAATGAATGAAATAACTGAAAAGCTACCTTTTAAATGAGGTAGGGCCTGATGATGTCAACAGAGGCGATGAAACATCCTAAATTAAGCGATCTAGAGATCAGAGAACGCAACATCATCAAAAAGTCTATACTTTACAATCCCTATTACTATAAACTATCACTACCGGTCGTGGTTTATTAGTTGGAACTCCGTCACTTTGAAAGTTAACTTTTTGCAACCCACATGTAAATTACCTTTAAGCAATATTAAATAATAAATTGTGATGACGTGAATCTATTATAAAGTAAAAACTCTTACGTTTGAGTTTTCAATAAGTGTGAATGTATTGCTGCGACTCCATTAACTGTGTGAGATCCTACAATACACAAGTAGGCCATATTAATACGTTTTTCGCCTTCTTCTTCTACCAATGACATACGACGAATACGGTCATCATCGTTTGGCCATTTCGCACGTACAATCTAGATAATAAAAAATCAAAGGAAACGTACGGTACAGACGCTTATTTACGCAGGAACCAGTAAATGTAAATCTGTTGATTTATGTAAAGATAATTTTAGGGAAAGAAATTTCGATATGCATTAGAACACAATTAACATTTCAACTTTTAAAAATATTTTAATTAAGTTAGCTTGTCTGTGAAAATGACGTGAATTCGATTTTGTAAAACTTGGGTGATAATAGAGTTTAATATCTGTTCATGTACTTAGTGAGTTACTAAGAAAAAATTATAAAAGCCCTTGACTGCGGCCAAGGTCAAAATGTGAAAACTGTTAGTCAATAATATTTGGTTGGCCAATTCAGTAAGCTTCCATTATAATGTACAAAGTCTATAGTTATTTGATAATAGAAATCCTGCACATGCTGTCTGCATGTACCAGAAACACAAAAGACATTTAAAAGTTGAAAGACTACTTTTAAATGACGAATGAAATCAGTTGGTTATAATTTTGAATTGATCAAAATAAATGATTAAAGTACATATGGAGAATGACTACTTTGGAGGACTGTGATGATAATACTAAAATTCAAAGTTAAAATGCCAAGGCATTCAGAACCAAAAAGATTTTTTGATTTGTGCTCAGTTATTGCATTCCTGTCTTGAATCCTTAAAAGAGCCAGATTGTCAGTCCATGTTAAGTTACACACACGAACTACATGTACGAAATATTACAAAATGATGAGTCAGAGTGAATGCTCAATGATGTAATTCTGATCAGCGTTTGCTTTGAATTGTTCCAAATGAAACAATTGTCTAAAACAAGTGAGACTGTCGGAGTACCATCAAATCAAAAAGTTAATTAATTTCGATCGATTGTAAAACATAAGTTACCATTTATGCTGCTTTCTGTACCTCTGTTCAACCAAGTGGAGTAAGATGTAATAGATAAAACGTGGCCCTTAGTGCAGTTCAGGACGCATATGTCGTCCCACTTGAGACTCAACAACTGAACGTGCATGGACTCGAACGCACTACCGTCCACTTTAAACACCATTGCGTTATCCACTTAGCTACATTCGATCTATTCTATATAATAAAGGGATTTTACACAGAATGCACATATGCCAAGACTGATCAAATTTCAGTCAAAATATCAAAAATGAGATAATTCAAACCATTTCAGGTGCTGCAACGTCCATAAGTACAGTAAATAGAGACAAACCCTTTTGAATTCAATCAAACGTTTGCAGCTGATAGGGAACATAATACATATATTAGTAAACATTTTGTGAAAACATTTAATCTGTTTTTGATGCTCGAACTCCAAGTTTTCAGTCAACTAAACTAAAACTCACCATACCAAACGTTTCATGAGTTAATTAAGCTACTTTTAGGGGAGAAAATACACTGCTGAAAGATGATGTTCAATTTACTTTATACTTTTCTTATTAGTAGATCTGTGCATATGATAAGTCACCCAGAATTTCTATTTTATAGAAAAATTAATATCAGCTATCTTGCATTATGTACACTTCATTCATAAAATCTTATAGCAAAATATCATTACATTTGTATCCTTGTATATATATATATATATATATATATATATATATATATATATATATTAAGATTCACATTGAAACTCACATCTAAGAACTCAGCATTAATTTGATAGATAATTTCTAAATGACGTGGTAATATATGCTCCAATAATGTGACAGGCCAACGTTCCAATGCTTCAGGTAAGATTGTATGGTTTGTATACGCAAATGTATGGTAACTTATATCCCATGCCTTTTTATGTGTAGATAAAGAGAACATAAGATTAGGTTACGAAATACTTTACAGAATAACCTAAGGAGGATTAGGACACAAGAGTATTTAAGAGGTGAAATATGAAGTTAATAATATTATAATTTGCATCATATTACTATTATTCACAGTTTGTGAAGGATGTGAATAAACTAAATTTTTTTAATCATAGATAAGAACCCAAAATATTTAAAGTAATGATTAGTTTACCGGTCGGTCAGTCATAGGTAACGTAAAAATTAGCATATATGTGCTTTGGATTAAGTATCAGCACAGTGTGATTAAATTATCGGGACAAATGCCAGATTATTAGCAGCAAAGTATCAGTGTTAGTAGAAAAAACTAAGAATAGTGACAAAAAATAGCGATTTGAGAAGGGGGAATTAATTTGTGGAATCAAAAGCACTGGATAACTTTACGACTCAAGATCTCAGAAAAGATGAAGACTGAATGTATCTACACAATTGAGACTGATTTTGAGACGTCATCCAACTTCTTAAACTATTGGTTATGGTAATCACTCATATAGTCTAAGCCTACCAACAGTCAATGATTTGATTGGCCGATACTATGAATCCATTTAGTCGTCCCTAGCTTTTTTCCAAACCTGTTTCCAACACCCGTAAACATCATCTGTTGAGGGAGGTGGCTGTTAGACAAATGCAATACATGATTTTGATTGAGATCATGAATCGATCAATATTAGACCAAAATCGAAAACTTGGAAGCACTGGATGGCCGTTTCGTCCTAATACGGGACTCAGCAGTGTACACCCACGATCCCATATGTGGGATCCGAATCTAGGACTTTCGGTCTTACGTGTGAATGCTTAACCTTTAAAGAGAGCAAGAAAAAAGATTGGTGCAGAATAATGTGGGTCCATTTTATTTCGTTAGGTTCTCATCAGCTGCTTACAATCTAAAATACTTGAAAATCAGAGTTACTATAGTCATTGATATACTTATACATAAGAGGGTGATTAAGGATGAATATATGTATCACCACTGAGCCTATATCCAATGATGTTGATGTTTAACTTCAATCGATCCATGATCTTGCTCAACCCTTCATCCATTGTCTGAGGTAGATAACTGTCTCCAACTTACATGGATATGACCCCACTGCTCACAGCTTTTCACTAGAACTCCAAGAAATACCTCTCGAAACTACTCACTAGTGAACACATGGTAATTATCAGCATGGGTTTGTGATGATTGAGTTTTCGATTGAGATCATGAGTCGATCAATGTTAGACCAGCATATGTCTTAACCCCTCTAATCGATGAAGATTCAATACTTCATCAATTTATTTGCCATCGTCGTCTAATATACATGTGTTTAGCATCAGCATATTTTACTACAACATACTATATTACTAATCACGGTGTTTGTTAGGTGTTATAATATTCAATCACTTACTGAGAGTAATCAAAATGGTAATACGGCTTCCGGTACATATTAAAATTTGTCTTCCCAGACCATATACATAGTATGATAGCTATGTTTATTTTCAATGGAAATAACCAGGTTTGGTGACCAAACTCGTACATTTTTGTGATTAAGAGAGATATCACTGTGTCATTGTCGGGTGGAATACTACCTAAACTCGAGTCAAGATCAATCTTCCCAAGTAAAATGTGTCAGTGGTTTGACATATTCTTATTAGTGCCGTTTCGTAGTAAAAATATAGTATGGTAGATAATATTCTGTCTATTTGAAAAAAAGAATTTCAAGTGTCAGAAACTTGAGTGATTATTTAATTCAATGTTAGAAACTTACTTTTTTCCACTCTAAACCCTCCAAGTCAACTAAGATACGTAGTAATTCAGGAATTGCCAGTGAGGGATGTGTGTCATTCAATTGGATAGCAACTTTGTTGGGAAATTCATCAAACGATCGATGGTGGGAATCATTACTTCTAAAACGCCGAATTATATCCTGTAAAAATGAACAATTAGAACACAAAGGTTAATATATGCATAGATGAATCAACAACAAAAAGGATTCTTTTTTATAAACTCAACATATTAATGAGAATTTTATTTTGATGAATTCGGTAACATTGCATGTTGGCTATGTAATAGGGTTGCTGGGTAAAAGCAAATTATACACAGTATACTTAAAAAACACTAATTACAACTATATATATATGTCTTGAAAATGTGAACCATAGAGTTTAGACTCGATGGTCTAAAACACTGTCAGCTTCTATTTTATTCATGAGAGTCACATAGAAAAATGGAAGAGTTGGTTTCGTAAGATTTGTCTTTACGGAGTTTTTATAAGACAAAATTAGGTAGAATGCTTTCAGAATATTACCTGCAAAGTGGCAGCAACTAAGAAATACTCTTGACGAAGGCGAAGTTCCTTTCCAACAAAGAAATTGTCATTTGGATAAAGAACTCTGGATATATTTTCCGCATGATTACGTGCACATACAGCCTAAAGCAGAGAAAGAATAAAAAGAATCATAGTATTTCTGGAAGGGTTAAATGAGTGTGATGAAAATAGAAAAGCAAACATACTACGATCTTATAAATTTCCACTTATTTTCACAAAAAAGTATGTTTTGTCTTGCATAACGCTGGAATAAATAATAGCATTGAACAAGATAAAGTGTGACTAAAAGAGGTAACCTGCTGCACAGGAATCGAGTTAATATTGTTCAATAGAAAACTGCTTAAGATGTAACCGAATACAAAATGGTATTGTTTCGAAAACCGTAATTGGTAGTTTCAAAGTCAATATCAATATATCAGTTAACGGCAAACAAATTCATACTGTAACTAACATTGTTTTCAGCCAAATCAGTTATGGTAGTTAAGAAATTTCAACAGATTTATAAGAGATTTTGGACAAAGAACAAATTATCTTACGTTTATGTAATCACCCATATTAAATATACCGAGATCAAAACTTTTTGGAGCTTTGGCAGACCACAGCCGAAGAGTATTGCAAGTGTTATTTCTATACCCTGGAACTGGGGTGTCATAGGGCATTGCAAAGACTGGATGAGCATCGACCCATCGTCTACGTCCATTTCCAGCATCTTCAACACGCCCGTAAAAGTTGACAGGATAGCAATATTCTGGTCTACCTTTTTCCCAAGGGTTTCCAAAGCGTAACCACTCGTCGGGTTCTTCAACCTACGTACAAAGCAAAAATAAGGGTAAATATGCGATAAACTTTAGGCTAGAACAACCCTAGAATTAATAACTCTAGTGCATTTGATCAACAACAAACATTGTAAGTCAAAAGTTTCCTTGCTAATTTATCCTAACTAAAGAAAACTTATGCAAGACTATACATATCATTTACCATAGGATTTTATATAAGGCAATTATATCTTGAGGTAGCTTGTGGTAACAACGGCTATCACAACTTCACTTTAAATCAAAATGAGACAGCTTCTTTCTCTTACTTGTTCTGATTACTGCAAAACGTAAAATTTGTAAGGATGATTTATTCGGTAAGACTCCAGAAGAATTCGAATTACTCTTGAATTTGTTTAGTTATAATAAGACTAAATTCAATAATTATTAATTAGGGAAATTATTGAGTCAAACAGTTGTCACTTGAGCACAAAATAATATGACATTAATGCAATTGAATAATATACTTAATAAAAGTCAAGTGAGCAAAATATCACAGTTAGTTAATTAATATAAATCTAATGAAATACTCCGCAAACCTTGAGCTGAATTAATCCACGGTCAAATGAACAGACATCACACTGGATTAAAATGAACAATGAATCTAATTTAAAAATCAATGCTTGATCCTTCACCTAATTTCTTTCTGCTTAATCGTATTTTGGAATTTATATCCCGAAAGTAAGGGTTAGTTCAGCGTTTATTTTAATTTTTTATTATGATATACAGTTCACAAGTGTGCTTACCTGCCAGCCATCGCGAATAGACTGTTCAAAAATGCCGTAATCATAACGGATGCCATATCCATAAGCGGCCAACCCTAATGTTGCCATTGAATCCAAGAAACAGGCAGCTAGACGTCCTAACCCACCATTGCCAAGACCAGCATCAGACTCCATTTCCTCTAGTTCCTCAATATCCAGTCCCAACTGTATTCAGATAAGCAAAATCAGAAATTAAATACTTTAATAGTTATGTCAGACAGACTATCTGAAACTACTCACTGACGAAAGCTCTTATGAACTGACTGATTAATTAGAGTGACATAGACCAAAACACCACCACATTATTTTAAAACATTTTTGAATCTTGTTTTGAGTATAGTTTCGTTATCCATGTGAAATGTATTGTTGGGGACGTACCAAATTAAAGAAGTATTTGGTTACATTTCAAAAGATAATGTTGACAAACAAAATATGGGTCTCTTATGTATACATCAATGTCTATCAAAAATACACCAAAATACTTCTGCCAAACATAAGAATACACTAAATAACAAAGAAAAGACATGGTTATGTAGATCAATGGTTTGTTTGTGTGGCAAAGATACATTTAAAGAGATTTCTGATATCTCCTTTTGTCGTCAAAGCCCATACACTCAATTACGTTTTGTATATGACGAGAAAGAGTTTTCATGCATGGTGTCTGTATGCGATCGACAATAATCGGTAGGAGAACTGAAAATGACACTTAGTGAGTACAATTTTCAAAATGTTTCTTTAGCGTGCTAAAGACCGAGATGACTGATCAAAATGGTCATTATGAATTCAAATAAATGTTGAGACAATGAACAAAGTTGAAGCATTTTACTGCTAAAGGTGGCTAATCTTTCTGGAGTGTGAACCTCTCAGAAAATAATGGTGTAGGAGAAAGCTATGGATCAAGCTTATGTAATACGCTATCATCTATTGTTTGCTAAAATTATGCGAAGTGAACCAATAATAATAGGTATTGAGTGGTTTAACTTGGTACTACTACGCTTCCGTTTAATTTTTGTATGGTGAAGAACGGATTTAATTGCATTGAAACTGACTAGTGACTTTTATTAATCAGTTAGTTTCATATCTAAAAATACATAGATCAAGGAAAAATTGACAATTAACCGTTAAGACTATGGTTTGAGAATCTCACATACTATTTGCGTCAATAAACGAAGCGCTTTACCTTTGTATTAGATCTATATGAAATAACCCTATCAGCATATATATATATATATATATATATATATATATATATATATATATATCACCAATGAAATGCTCCTTAGTTGTGGTAAAGTTACAACTGAAGTAAGTCTTTAATTCACTGATATAAGCATGGTTTCAAACTTTACTCAACTTTGAATTTCGCTAAACCCAAAAGGACCTGTCTAGTCACTACATTAAGGGTTTATAATGTTGTAATTAAGTGTACGTTTTAAAAATTTGGGGGTGGCCAAATTGAAATATGATATTGCTCTTTGAAGCCATTGATCTCTGTTAAGAGCGATTTAAAACCTTGAACTTGACAAGATAATAAAACTCACTTGGTACATCGCCTCATCTACTGCAGCAGCAATATTTACATTCAGCATTGTATTGGTCAAAGTGCGGCCCATGTAAAATTCTAAGGACAAATAGTATATGCGCTGCAATATGAAAACAAGATAATCATTTTTATTTGTTTGTAGTAAGATAACAGGAATAATAATTCTGAGCAACAGAATCCAAATTGTTTACAAGTTTGTATACTAAGATAAAGTGGGGTGGGGTTGAAATCAAACGATAAGCACGTGGTTAACGAGATATTTGATAGGTTAATCTTCTTGTGACTAAGAGGCGCATCACAAAAATAAACAACACCTCATTTACATCCTTTCAAGTTAATGAATTATAATCAATTCGCACAACATAAAATGTTGTTCCTAAGATAGTAACACATTTACGTAGTCAGTGTCGGATATTGAGTCGTAGCAAAGCAAGATTTAAAAGGTTTCACTAGTGCGAATCGACCTCTTAAAACTATTTCGTCAATGTCTAACAAGATGGGATGATCAGAAGAAACATATAATGTTTACACAACCGTTTTTAGTGCTAAACAAAGTAGTCTAGCGAAGTGGCGCACAACGTCTTTGAAAATGGAAGAAAATACATCACTTTTGATATCCGCACACGGAGAGACCTCGAAAATCACCATAAAGTAACCTTGATTTTGATTCTGTAGTTTTAGGGTACTTTATCAAACGATTGCCAGGTGGCTAGGTCAAAAGAAACGAAGTAATCACATCGGCCACGTGAGTATTAAGACCTCCGTGTGCTTTGTATATCAATTTCGACCAGACAAGGAATCAGAATAGTTTTAGCAATCCATAAATTATAAAGACAGCTACTATCAGTGAAGGCAATGAACCATCAGTTAAATCAGATTTTATTTGAACCTCAGTTTTAAAATGTAAGTAAATTCTGTATTCGATTGCCAATAAGTCGTTTCACTATTTTCACCATCACAATGTTTGCTCACATGGAACTTTGTCTCATTGAAGTGAATTACATAAATATTGATAATAAGCTTATTTACTTATTTGTTTGTTTGTTTGAACACATAAATACTGGTGCAAGGGGGCACCAAATATATATGCGCCACATAAAACAATGAAAATGAAAAGAGAAAAAGAGAAAAGCGACGAGATTAGTGTAAAGTAGTGTAAAATAATCATAATGATAATAATAGTAATGGGGGAAACGGAAGGGTATAATAAGCTGCCAAAAATGCTTATATTTCGAAAATCCCATACACTGAAAGGACCATAGGTACATATTACACGTTCTCCAGAAAATGTGTGGTGCATATTTCACCTAGCACAAATTACCAACGAAGTAACACGTCAGAATATAGTAACGCTTCGCATAATTTTGTCATAATTTTAGGTTGACAAACCTCAAAACATTGCAAGTTTTTAAAGACTTGTTCATTAGTCCACTGATCAAAAGTGTTGAAAACACCATTGTTTATTAATACAAAAGCCAACATTTTAAGATTTTTCAAAGATGAGAATATACAAACGTTCTGAATATATCACAAATAGTCCGTGACAAACTTCAGTCGAAAAGAATTTCGCCTGATGTTTGCTCACTTTTATACAAAAGAATAACTTAACGATGGGAATGATCGAAATAATCTTACTTCACAAATACTTTATTAACGCAAGTGAGTTAACTGAGTCTTCCTAAGTCGGAAAAAAACAAGAAATCGACACTTCAAATTACGCAAAAAACAGTAAGATATCGAAAATATGACTAACCTTTGGATCCTCTCTATGGTAAAACTGCTGAGATCGAATCCATCGAGAGCAAAGATGATCCCAAACTGTACGTGCTAACGCTTGATAGAAGTCGAGGGACGTTGCGACGTTCCTATCTTTAACACCATCAAAATGCAAGTGTCTGTTGAAGTCAGATTTAAGATTTGTCACATTTTCCAACTGAGCAATCCCTCTAACACTTATTTGCTTCCTTTTCTCAGCATCAGACAACATATCACAATTTTGTAGCTTCAAAAACGTTGAATGAGTCGATGCAACCGAAACAGTAAAACAAATGGTGCTTCAGCAGCATTGAACAAACTATATTGAAACTCAAACATAATGTTTTGTGACATTTTGTCGCTCAATAACCTGGAAGTCTGCATAAATATTCTTTCAAAGTGTTAAAAAATCTTTTAATGGGATACTAAATTGAACGGATAGCTTTTATTTCGAACAATAGTCTAATAGAAACGAATCAAAGTTTTATTTAGTAGGGAATCACCACAAATATTAATCCAACTCTTAAACGATATATATCGCAGAAGCATTTGAACTCTGACGGGCACGACTGCCAAGCCAGCGGTACTACGATATTCTCACACTAGACAATCGGGATCAGGTAGAAAGCTCTTGTTTAGAAAGCGACGGCAAGGCAAAAACGGTAGGCTCCTTCAAATCTGTCCGCCTTTTCGCTTCAAAAACCTTGAACGGCCTGACTAGACGCGGTCATTCCGTATTTCAATTGCCGTGTGTGTCGGGTCGTATGAGTAATAAGATTTCCATATTCAAGTCATCTTTTGCTGCATGAAAAAGCACAAAATAACTGCTAAGAGCATTAATTTAGCAGTCTCTGTTTTGGAGTGTACACGTTAGCTCTGTTGTTGCTTCGTAACTTGGTCTGTGGTCCCACAACACCTTTATATAATTTGTTGATAATGTCCAGAAAACAACGTAAGAAAGATAACATAAAAAGTTATAGATACGCAGAGCTTTTGTGAGTCACTGTTAAAGAAGTTAAGACGAAATGTCAACTCATCGGTAAGTCCTAAATATTTGTTGTACTTTTTTCAGTTATTTTTTTTCAAGAAATAACTTTTTTGATAATTAATGCGTGTTGTCTGTAGTGCTTCATGCCAAGGGAAATTTCAGTGGACTTAAGAGAGGCGTTTGAACGTATTATGCTGAACAAGCGATTCGAAAGCTGGATTGAATTTAATAGTGCGCTAAAGAATTTCCATAAACTATGAAAGACTAATTCTACGTTTTATCAGATTACCCATACGCACTATGTTCACTCAGAGAATAAATTTTTGAAGGATATGAGATATAAATACTTGTTTGTGGTGTTTCATTGCACGTTTGGTCGTAAACGTAAATCAGAAAGACTGACAGTGAATAAAAAACGTGAGGACTTTAACTACTCTGTGACATTTAAGGTCTAAGTTTTTAAACTGCCAATATAGGTTTCGTATAAGATTAGAAGGTGAAGAATACGTCATAAAATCTTACATGTCTCACAACCATCTTTGTAGTAGTTCATGGATGGTTTGTGATCCGTGGAGTTGAAAATTGTCATTCGAAGAAAAAGAAAACTTGAAGCCAGTAATATTGCACTGTCAGTCAGCAGATGAGGTTGTAGAAAGTATTAAAGAGAGAATAGGTAAGCAGGTTACCACTGCTGATTTCAAAGCTATGAAAGGTAAACTTGCAAAATTATGGTCTACCATGATATTAGTACTGCTCAAAAAATGACCTAATCCTAAATTTGTAGATTTGTCATGATATAACTGCCTAATCTATAAGATCTTACGAGGAACTCACACCATCGACTAGACCAACTCACTGTATCGTATCAATTACCAATATATGATGTAGAACAAGGTTAGGCTAGAGAAAGAACAATATATTTAATATGAATAGAAGATATAAGGTAACATTCAGCAGCGACCACGCCTGCATGGCCGAGCCATGCCACTCGATCAACTCCAGTCCGTTCAATCCATTGTTCGCGCCTTCTCCATTGTTAGGTATTTCTTCGTGTTAAATATTGAATATCTATTTTCTGAGTAGTCTTGTGTTCAGCTTCGAAGATTGTGTGGTTATGGTCCAATGCCACTACAAACTCTCCACTGGTAAGTGTATATTAATATATTTCAGGTTGTTCTCGAAAGAAGGTAATGCATATGCTGCGACAAAACAGTGAAGTTAGGGAGCATGTAGAAAATGGGTATATCACGAGAATATGCTTCAGCAGCTAGGACCAGATACAGTTGTACGATCAGTATCCTAAAGTCGTGTGTATTTATTCGACTTATAATACCAACAATAAAAAGTGATTGCGCTTTTTGTTACATGACACTTCGTAGATATTCCTTATACCAGTTGGTCGTAACAGATAATTTTGGTCGTGGGCGGCCTGTAATGTTTTGGTGGACGAAAACGGAAATGCGCACAGATGTTACATGAATTTTAGAAAAATTCAAAGAGGTTGTGGGAAATACATCGAAAACACAGGCCTTTCTTATGGACTGCGGAAGGCATTATGGAGTGAATCTAAGCACTTGTCAGTCCAATTTTAGAATATTTATTACGTGTCCATATGCTTGCCATCATCTGCTAATGGCATATATTAAAAGATGAACTCTTACAGGTAAGCTTATTCACTTACGAAATATAAACTATATAGCCCATCAAATTCTTAAGCATTGTTGTAGATGGAAATTAGACAATATGCACAACTTACAAAGCAACACAACGATTTCATTACCGAGACGGAGTGGAGGATATATATGCAAATTCAAAGGCTCCAAAAAATGTGCAAACAACAAATTATTGAGAAATATGGCGAACCATTAGCAAAAGACGTGGAGAGTAAAGCCTACAATTTCCACTTAAGAATTATAAAAAACTAGACGGCACTTTCACGATAAAAAGTTCTTTGTGGCCTTATTTTTGACTTCACTATATATGCAACTTGTAAACTTATCTTTCTACTATACTAGTCATAACAATTCAATAAACTTTTTCCCAATTTTTATTTCCGTCTTCTTCATATTTTCATGGGGAGGTATACCAATCGTTTTAATGAATAATTGTGTGTGAGAAATAAGAACTTGTACTACTGAATTAGTTTTTAAGTGTCGTTAATTGTGACTTCTACGTAAAACCTTACAGATTAGGCAGTCGCCTGACATACTTTCCGTTGTCGGATTACATCTATGATCCTTAATGTTTCCTTAAGTCCAACACCATACAAACTTTGACCTGTTCAAGCATATATATATATATATATATATATATATATATATATATAGTTATTATTGATAATCTAGGTCATTCCTGTTCTTCGCTTTCTATTATGTCAATTGTTTCATACTATTTCTCACCTCAATCTTAAATTATAATACATATTTAGTTGCTTACAGCTTGTGAGAAACCACGAAATATAATGCAGTCACATTATTCTGCAACAATATTTGTTTTGGCTTTATTTAGACCATAAGTATACATACTTAAGGGATTTATAACGTTAAACACTGAGTATGGTTGTTATATATTCATATTTAAATAATTCATTAGATGAATGAACATGGCAGTAGACAATATAAAAGTTATCGTAAACTTGTAATCCGGTTTTCCACACGATCTTCCATAAGCTTCATACTTTTCTGAAAAACAACAAATCAGTCTTGAAACAAACAATTAAACTTCGTTATCAGTATCACATTCAGTAAGTTAATAAAATATCAGGTAACAGAATGTACCTATAAGTCAGTGCTATTCATTAGAGATTTTGGATTCCGTTAATAGAAATTCATTGGTAATCTTTAGAACAGACACATCACAAATTAGTGTTATTTACAAATTACTGTAGTCACTGTCATCACAACATACACGCATCGTCCGACTTATGAGGAAAATGCGACTAATTAATGTGGCACAAAGGAGATATGAATGCCATAAATTTTTGATTTAGATTCGATCGCGCGTCCACTTTTCGTCACGTATTTTGCATGAATTACTTTGGACTTATGCCGAGTCAGTCTGTAATGGAGTAGAAATTCAAGAATTAACTCATTAATAGTTGTTATTTGATTCTAGTGTTGTGTCGTATCAACAACTGGGAGCTTCAAATCGCCATCATATAACTGTGAACGCTTCACAGTCTTATGACATTTTTTTGTACCAAGTTTATGATGTAAATGAAATGTTAATGCTTTCACAGTTCATATTGCCTGAAAACTCTGATTTTAGTATATTTAAGACTTCACTAGCTGGTGACAATAAGCTATAAGTTTCTTATTTCATGTAAACAGCGCTCTTCATTTTCTAACCCTTCTCGTATTTTGCCTAGACATTTGGTATTAAGAAACAAATTGGTAAGCACATTTTAGATATTGCTCGACAATGTGCATTATAACTTTGTTTATAATTTGGTCAGTGATTGCGGATTCTGTTTACAGAAACTTATTCGTTAACCCTATAACAGACACATCATAAATCAGTATTAACTACGAATTGGTTTTGTCACCATGCTCAAAAGAAACACGCATCGTTCTACTTATGAGGTTTTTGTGACTAATTGATGTGGCACTTCCAGTGGTGTTATCGACTGTTCATGTATACGTTCAGAGAGCGGATGGAAAAGACTATCAACGACAATTGTTACTCTCATGATTTTTCTCAGATACGTTACATAATAATATTTCACTTCAGTGCAAAACGATGATACTTATAATGGATATAACTGTTCATGGCTAAATATTAACAAGTTATATAATATTCATAAACAGATTGACGCTTAATTGCTTCTACCTACATTTATTAATCAACTACCAACATCCATGTTCATCATCACTTTTATCAAAAAGGTGAACCATATGTTACAGGTTTTAAAGCTTATTTTCATGAAAATTCGATTTGTGACCTATTTTTTGACTTGGAAAATGGTGAATTTCACTGGCTTGAGTTTGTATTGTTACAAATAACCATATTAGGCTTACTAAAAATTCACTTAGGTGGTGACCAACAAATACGTCAAACTGATAATAAATTGGAATACAAACTACGTAACAAGCATAAACAATACGAAAATTGACGTGTGATAGAGAAAATGCTGTTAATAGCTGATGAATAACGACACAAAAAATCCATGACAATATGTTGCATGTACGCGAAAACCCCTGGCTTACCCCTGTTTCCGTGTCGAAAGCGACTTGTATATTCGAAAC